ACAAAATCTCTCTCTTAAAGATTAGAAAGACATAGGAGTCCAACAGAAATAAAACCAGGATGTGGTTGTATAATTAAAGGCAGTAGCCTTTAATTGAATGAATATACATACAGGTGCTAAAATAGGCAACTTTAATCTTGACTTTTTCTAACTTTGAGCTCTTGATTTTGTAGTCATAGTAACATTCATTTAACAAGGTATGCCATTGCCTGGGTTTGGGGGAAAGTGTAAATCTGAACTGTCGAAATGTCATCTCATCTCCTTGAGTTATAGTAGAATCATAGAATGGTTTTGTTGGAAGGCACCTTAAAGATCATTCAGTTCCAACTCCCTGCCATGGGCAAGGGCACCTTCCACTAGACCAGGTTGCTCGAAGCCCCATCCAACCTGGCCTTGAACACTGTCAGGGATGGGGCAGCCACAGTGTCTCTGGGCAACCTGTGCCATCATCTCACCATCCTCACAGGGAAGAACTTTTTTCTTGATACCTCATCTAAATCTACTCTCTCTTGACACCACATGGTGCATATCTACATTTAACACAGTCAGTTCTCTGTCCTTTGAGCTAGTGGGGGAACTCTCATCTCTAAATTTGTGATATCCTTTAAGCTATAAGAGATGGACACTATTCTAAATAGATATAAATACATATTTACCTTAGAGGACTGGAAAGACACAAGAACATTAGGTTCCATTTCAGACTTTCAAGGAAATCATGCTATAGTTTGTATTTTCTGTGAGATTTTTCTGTGCATATTCTACTTCTCCCATTTCCTTTTCTTATCACTTTACTGATTTGTTTTCCTTTTATTTTTTCAGTCCTGATTGTCCCCTTTGTCTATCTCATCCCACACATATCCTTCCTGCCTGTCTTAATCTGTTTCTGCAGATCTCACAGTTTTGCTTCCTATTCTTTTTATTAATCTTAAACCCTTGTTAATTGTTCAGACAGACCTCTTCAGCTCTTAGTCCCAATACCCAGTCCCTGCCAGTTTCAATTCTCAGCTCTTTAGAGTTTTCTTTTTATAACCTGTTCTTTTTTCTTTTCTTCTTTTTTTTGGTGGTGTTTTTTATCAGTTCTCTCTTCATTTGAGTTAGAGAGCTTCTTCCTTTTTTGTGGCAGAGTATTGGAGAAGTAACTGAGAGCCTGAAGGGGATGACCGTCTTCTCATAGGTGGTCTGGTTTAGTCTGATAACTTTCACTGTGTTTTACCTCCTGGCATGTGAAGATTTTGAAAGTGGATCACTACTGCTAAAATACCCTAGCAACCAACAAACCTAAGAAGGGTTAGGTTTTGTTGGTACAATAAACAAAAGAGATCTGAAGAGACGCATGGCTTAGATTCGTCTGGTAAGAAAATCCTTTTGTACAAACTTAGTTGTGTTAAAACCGTATTGTGAAAGCCAAACCTCTTAATATAAATGTCTGAATATTTTAGAATTCTCTCCCAAGAATTTACTTGGTCCTTCACATTTCTAACACCAGTGGAAACCCTTCAGGACAATGACATTATTATAACATCTTCAGTAGTGAGGATCCTTTATTCGCTACATTAAACATTTACAGCTCAATGTCTAATCTCCCCAGTCACCTGGGGTATGTCAGACTCCAAATGAGTTTTTGTGGCATTCACATCTACCTTAATGATCTGTCTTGAGGCTGTTTTGTTTGGGATTTGAGTGGGTTAATCAGCATTTTTAGATCACAAATTGAATCTTTTCATAACAATAAATGGGGAAGTTAATTTTTTCTTCATGGTGCCATATGCAGCATATTCAGGCTACTGGCATTTCTGTCTTTAATAGTATTAAAGAGTTCTAGCTTTAGGTATTCAGCATAATGGGCAGTAAATAGGTAGAAGATTTGTTTGTTGTTTATACATTCCATAGCTAATTTCATGAGGACTTAGGAAATCACTACTAATCTTGCAGCTAATTAGAGCATCATGCTAGCCATACTGCTCCATCTACCGAACCCTCCTCCTGCTGATACGTGATTTTGGTTCGTCTTGCTAGGAACAAAAATCTTTCCACAGTACCGGTTCAGAATATGAAGCAACTGTCTGCATATCTGATTTCATGGGGTTATTGCACTGCTGTTTATCACTGCAGCATTAGAGTCTGTATCCACAGATCCTGGACAAAGTCCTTTTCATTGTTCAGGGGAGCACAAAAAAACTGGAAGCTAGATGCAAGCGGCCAGAAGAACAGGCGCCTCAGGAGAAAAATGTCTGGCACTTGAATGCTGTGGCTTGGCTCATGATCTGAGACTATCCCTTATTTTTGGCATATTCCTATGTGTGGATGTATCCATATATTCACAGGTGCCGACAGTGTGTGGGTGTATGGGAAAGCTGCTCTGCAGTGCCTGTGCTATTAATGTAAGACCTTGTCTTCTCATATTCTCATCTCTCACCTGGTGTATTTAGTAATCACTATGTCCCACAGCACTGTTCTGTACTGTCCACATCCTCACCCACGCACAGCTAGGTGGAAACCTCTTTGCTCCTGGAGGAAAGCATCCACAATGATATTGAATGTCATGTGCATTAATTTTATGCCTTTAACTGATTTATTATAACTCATTTTGCTGCTATTGCACAGCACTGCCCTATATTTAGAATGAGCAACAATCCCATAGTTTCAGTCCTATTATCTATCATTAAGGATTTGCTTTTGTTTTCAAATAACAACAGTGAAGCACTTTGAAAATCTTGGTTGTGTGGTGCATTGTTGCATACTTACTGTGGTTTATGATAAAAATGATGGCTGGGAATGTTTCTTTTTAAGGACAAAGTCACCCAGCCCAGAATTGTTCTATAACCACCAAGAATAGATGGGACATAATTAAATTTGTGAATCATGACTTTCTTCTTCAATTATTAGATGAATCCCATAAATGTCACCACTAAGCTATCTGTTGCATATTAGTGTTTTCTTTTCAGGCATTTTGGAGAATCTCTTTAAAATTCCAAACGTTCATAACGTCGTTTTCCTTTGGGCTATCAGGAATGGTGATAGTTAAGATTTCAGTTCTGTGTTAGCTGTGTTGTTTTGACAGGTCAAAGCTCTAGTCCCTGTTAAGTGCATATTTTCCTCTATGAAGGAAGGAATTCAATAGAAGAGAGACATCATCTGTGGGAACAGTTTATGAGCCAGTTGTGTAGCTCCCTAGTACTCTGTAGCTATTGGAAGTGTAGTTGTATCTGCTGCAATTAACTTTTTTAGTGCTATAAATAAATTTAACAAACGATTCTTTCAGTAAGGGCTGCAAGAGGGATCTGCTGAATTGAAACGAGATAGCCATTAAGCAGAATCTACAAAGACCTTAAGGGTCTCCTGTCAGAGCAGGTTAAGCAATAATAAACACTAAGCAAATTCAATCGGTCTATAACCTAGAGCATCAGAGCACATAAAGCAAATCTCATGATTGACCTGCCTTCCATTCACTGGTCTCTCAGTCCCTATTCTGTAAGGAAAAATTCTGGGAGGTCACAATGAGCACTGTTCCCATCTGACCTTCCTGAAAATGTGGAGGATTGGCCTCACTCCTGGATGTCTTTGTTGCTTCAGAAGTGCAAGCTCTTCTCCTCTTCCTGCCTTCTTATCTATCTCTTCTTTATATTCTTGTATCTCATTCCAAGTTTTTTCCCCTGCTTCTAGTTTTCCTGGCTTCACAGCTCTTCTGTTGTTCAAATTGCTTTTCAAACACAATGCTGGCAGCATTGTTGATGTATTCCCAGTGTCTTGCACCGGCCTCTGAGGCCTGTAAGGACTTTGACTGTCCTAGGTGCTCCCCTACTCTCCTCCCTGAAACCGCTGAGCTTCTCTTTGTGCTTCTAGCCTCAGTGGGCCACAAAAATATGAGCCATGAGCCCCATTATCTTTTAGCATTGTCTTGTTCTCTTATCAGAATTAAGAGCTTCTCAGTAGATAAATCTCTCTGCTCTTAATCAGTTTCTTTTGAATGGCAGGAAAGGCTGCAGCACAGTTTTTCTTTCTATTTCTCTCAGAACTGTTGATGACTTTATGTTGCTTCTTGTTCATAAACCAAAACAGTTTATGAGCTGATATTCTGTTCTCCTTCTGGGATACTTCATATGAGGATTTAAATCTCTTTCCTGCGACTCCTCTACTTTTTTGTGCCATTGTTTGTTTAAAGATCCTCCAAGGAGAAAAAAGAATTTCATTCAGTGATTCAGTTTTAGATAACCAGGTACTCAAGAGATTTCACATGTTTTCTTTTTATTTAATGAGATATTAGTAGGCAGCTCTCTTGGTACTTTCCATGTGGACTCACATGCACTTTTTTCTCTTTTGTTCTTTTTGGGGGTTTGTTTGGGATTTTTTGGCTGCAAGAATGTAATGGCTGTGGAAACCTAAATCCCCTGTTATAAGAAATGCTGGCTGAGGGGAATTATTTACTGTAGTTTTACAAGTTCTCTTCTCTCTGAGAAAATATGGAGATGCCTCAGCTTTGAGTGTAGAAGGAATAATATCTGTTTTGATTTGAAAGAAGCCCTACATCAAAATAACATGGTGCTGGACAGCTTTCTCTTGAATCAGGCTGTAACTTTCACTACTTGAAATAATTTTTGTTGACCTTTAAGAGTTCTGAAAAAGAAATCTCTCTCTCTTATTTCAGTGTGTAAGAGCAAGCCCTAAACCCTTGTTCTGGGGATGTTCCTTTCTTTGCAGTTACTAATTGATGTTGACCTCAGAAAAGGAAATAAATAATTCTACTGAATCTTTGGTTTGGTATGAAAGAGTTGGTATGAAAGAGTTGAAAATTGAAATCTTTGATAATTATAAATGGGTGAAACTAATGATGAATAATATGTTCCTGCTTTTAAATAGCTATTAAGATTTAGATAGTAGAAAGCTTTTCTGAGAATATTTAAACAAAACCCACTCCCCCCAAAAAATATAGCAACCACCAAACAAAACAAAACCCTGAAGACTTCAGCCAAAAAGGTTTTTATTTGCTTTTGATTTTCCAGCCATTCCTCTTGGAATTATAGTTGTACGAGGAGACTGTGACTTGGAGACCTGTCGTATGTACATTGACCGTCTACAAGAGGTGAGATTTTTGGGAGATCAGGTATCATTTATTAGTCTATATTATGCTTCTTCCAGATCTGAGTGTAGAGGTTTAATAGTTGCTGCAAACAGATATTGAGAGTATTGGAATTTGCCTACCACCAAAAATAACACTTTAGTGTTATTGTATACAACAATATCATACAGTGTATGATAATAACATACAATATATGATAATAAAAGCAGGAGTAGCATGGAAAAATATTTTCTAAACAGGAAATGAAAAGTCACACTGACTCCTTTCAAGCGATAACAAAATAGATGTGGATGGGCATGTTTACTTCTCCTTGACCTGGAATGCAATACCAGGACTTTCCACATACCTTGCTGAAATTATATAAATTATTGATTAGAAAGTGTAATATGTAAGGATACACATCATGGTATTCAAGTGGATCTAATTATGTAAATTTCATTCTCTGTTACTGTCATGGGGAGACACCAATAAACACTACAGATAGCAACGAAGTCTTTCCAAATATACAGAAAAGTATACTCATGCAGCTAATAATAATGTTGCCCTTATTGTCTTGAGAGATCATTCTACAATACAGTCTGGGAATTGGAGACTTCAAATGCCCCATTACCTGAGTAATTTTAAGTGTGTATACCTTTAGTGATAAAACTAATGGATTTTCATTAATGTATTGTCTCTGGTTTTAATCTTTTACTGATACCTTTCCACAACATTTACATGTGTAAAGACACTATGTAGTTTTCTAAATAGGTTGTCCAGTTTACACAGGAACTATGAACCTCATCTCTCCCATTGAACTCTTTAGGAGCCACTGGCTTCTCTGCAGTTTTGAAACTCTGCACTTGCAGCCTGAATATGAGCCTTAGTATTTCACTGCAGGCTTTCACTTTTTTGCATGTCAGCCAGGATTCCTTTCACCAGTGACATTTCTGAATATTCAGACCTGAGGTGTGCTATTATTATCATAAATAAGACCGTATTGGAAGGTGATACCTATCTGAAGTATCTGGTGATGGGAAATTACAATGAAACAATTGTGGTGATATTCTCAGCAGATTACAAATGTGATCTCATACTGCACTCAGGCAACTTAATAGCAAGTATCAGGTGTCAAGTATTTGTGCGACACTGAAGTAAGCAGAGGTAGATGTTCTGGTTGAATTACCCACAGTGGCTGTGGAGGAACTGTGTTTCTCCAACCTTCTGCACTGTTTGTGCTATGTTTTTTTTTCTTGTGTGTCCTTGATTTGGCTCAGACCCATTTGCTGGGAATGGAGGTGCCAAAGTTTTCTGCACTCTGCCAACTTTCATACCAACTGGGGAGGTATGGTCTGTAGGCCAGGCTTCTTGGTAAGCTATGTCATGAGCTAAAACTGTTTGTCAAAATCTCTATTAAAATAAATTATATTCTTGAACCCTGCTAAATATCAGGGTCATCCTGATGTAACCTCCCTGACACGAGGTTGTCTTAAAACAGGGAGAACTGCCAGTGGTTTTCTTTAGTACATTAATTACTTACTTTCATTTAAAAAAAAAAAAAAATCATAGATTTTAGCATGTTTTGTTTCATATTTTTGCTAATAGTCTAAATTTCGATAGTTTTCATGGAATAAATACCTCTGTGATATGGTAACGTGCCATTAACATAATCTCTATATTTTAAAACCTGTTTTTTTTGACCAAATGCATACAAATTTAAACTTTAGGTGAGCTTTCCATGACTATTTTGTAGTGTTTGCTTCATATGCTTAAAACCTGTGAGAAATACTTGCAAAATTATTTGTTTGCCAACTATTTCAGATAGTGAAACTGCAAGCAGTTCTTGTTGCTTTAATTTTTTTCATCATTGCTGTGTCTTTCATCCTCCTTCTAGGACCTACAGTCAGTAACTTCTACTACACAGAGAGTTCATTACCAGGTAAGATAAACTTTCCTTTTGTATCAGAACAAAAAGAGGATTAGCAATGTGGACTGCACTCTTAGCATTTGAACCCAGGTTTCTTTTTGTTAAATATCTGTATGTTAGATAAATTTCTCATTATCACTTACCCTCAAATGGAGGATGTTCATTCTGCTTTCCCTTGGACAATCCTTTTCCTTGCAAGCCTTGTGGAATCATCTTTAAAATTAGCACATCATGATGATGTGAGTGATATTGCAATAGCAGCGCCTTGCATACTGAAGTGAATGAGATGAGACAAACAGCAAAAGTAAATGTGTTTCTCTGAGAAACTGAACAATAACATATTATATTTCATAGCTGTAGTAATAAAATTTATCACTGAGAAAAAATGTGTGCTAGCAAGCGTAACCTCTTAATAATTGTGTGCACCACAGTCATCTACCTTTAGTTTAACATAATCTTCAGAGTAGTTCTTTAATCTATCCTGGGCAGAAATGTGTCTTTTGCATGTGACAAACGGGTTCTCGTTTTAGGCGGCTAGTTTTTAAAATTGCTCTCTTTGTACATTTTACAACCTTATTCTACAATTTATGCAGTACAAAACTTGCCTTTACAGTTGGAATTATTGTTCTGGAATGTATATTTCTCTCAGTAAAATATTGCACTGCACAGTGCTTAAATTGGGAGTAAACTACCTCAGACTAACTCTGCTGACTCCTGAGCTGATCCGACACTGGCACTGAGACTTGACACAAACCATGGTCAGTTGACATAGCGCCTAAGATCGCAAGGCAAGTTTGCACAGTGTTGGTAGCCATTTCCTAGATTTAACAATGTGCAGGAATGAGTTCACTGGGAAAGCATACAGACATCCAGCTGAGAGGAATCTACTGCAGTGAAATTGCAAGTAATTTCTTGGGGCTTAATGATTACCTGGGTGATACAGAATTCCAGTTTAGCAAGAATGCTTGTAAATGTCCTGAATGCCAAAAGACACTATGAGAAAATGCAATTTGGCATGTTTTCCCGGAGCTGCTGCCTTCATTCCAGTTCATGGTTTGTTTCTATATTTCCCTGTCCAATTTTAACCTCATATTTTTTACATTTGTATCAATCATTGCCCAGGAATCAAGTTTCAGAGCAGTGTTAGTGTTTAGTGAATTGGCTAACAAACCAGCATGTATTACTCTGTTCCACTCATTATAAATTAACCTAAGTGGTTGCTGACTGCTCCATGTGTAGGAAACTGCCTGAGGAAAAATGAAGAGCTCTATCTGTGTGTATGGAGAGGGCTAAAAGAGAGTATAAAATGTCAGAAATCAGTCCCATACTTGGTTCTAACCTCTGCAGTCATAGCAGTATATAAATTAATTGCCTAGTCATCTTTTCTGGTGTACATCAGTGTGAAATCCCTAATATACCATCATTTTTTTATGATTCTTCAGTTTGAATGCACCACCCTCTGTGTCTTGTCTTCCATAGTTGTTTACCCTGATTCTTCAAACATTGGTTTATTCTCAGTGGGTCATTTCTACAAACTTTCTTGTTAGGTTAATTTGAGGTTTGTTCCATGTTACATATTACATATGTAATTTTGTAATGTATTACATATTACAAAAAGGGAGGAAAACCAGGCGATAAAGAGGATGAATACGGTACTTGAGTTGATGGCACCATCTTCTTACCTCACTAATAAGGTGTCACGGGTACTTTTAAGACTCATAAATGCAGTTCTCTTGTGTGATTCCTCTGCAGCTCAAAACATTGGGAGTTAGCAGAAACATCAACAAGCCCATAAAAATTATGCTAGGGTTGTTTTTCATTCTGTTTTGTTTCTCTAATGAGTTTAATGCTCAAAAAATATCATTCTTGCAGGCCTGAGACTTCCCAAGCTAGTTCTGCAGTTGAACTGTAATGAAGTCTTGGAAGGAACATATCACAGTATACAATCTGTAACTTGAATTTACATTTATCAGCATTATCCCTATCTTCACTTTCCTAGCATTATGTACTTTGTTAGGTCTATGAATTTTCACTCTTTTCTCCTCTTTGTATAATCTACCATTTTAGTACTCACCGTTGTCTTTTGATGTTTTCTTCCTTTTGCCCTCTGTATCCCAGTGCTCACCTTTCTGCAAATAGTGGGATAAATATTAAGATACATTAAACTTTGTGCATGTAGATACATAGGTATTAGCTAACCTAGTGGATTTCAGAAAACTCTTGACTCTCCCACATACATCTCAGTTGCCATACAAGTAAACCCATAGCTCCATCCCACAAGTCCATAAGCCCATATTAGAGAAAGACACAGATGTATTTTAATTCTGATGCTTAAACCATTGAGATATGTCATTTGGTTCCCTTTATGGACTGCTATGTTGTCATTGTCTTCATCTCTCCTGTAATGCATGGAAGTTGGAGACGAAAACTTGTGCAGAAACCTGAGCAAGGTTTACGGGATCAAGTAAAATCTGTGAGTCTAAACATGGGAAAGAATTGAGGCTGTTTTATTTTTGCCAGGGTGGCTATAGACACAGATACCATGCATCAGAGGATAAATATGTATATATTTCTTTAGTTGAGCAAAGTCTATAGATTTCTGCAATAACATTTCAAATAAAATCTGTTGCCAGGACTGTAGCCAAACTCTAGGGCACTGAGGAGACAACAAATGAGTCATCTGGAGCTATCTTTGCTTTTCTGTCATGTATAACCAGAAAGGAAAGGCAGTAAAAGATAGTTCCAGTTGATCTCCAGGGCAGAAGCTAATAAGACGAATCTTGCAAAATCTGTCATGATAGCAAATGAAATTAATAACATTTTGTAACAGCATCATGCCAGGCACTGATATGCATTCACTTGGTTGAGAAATGTGCATCCATCAAAACGCTAATCATTATCAGAGCTGCTTGAAAAACAATACATAGTGCACGCAGGCACCCTGGTGACCAGGAAGCTGGGGAAGCTAAGAACTGGTACATATCTGAACAAGATCAACATGAGCTCATTTTTAATCAGGTGGCTGAAAAAGTGTCAGATGTTTTTAGGTAAATCAAAGAGCAATGTCTGCCTCTTAATGCGTAAGGGCATTGTTTTCTCTGTATTCAATTTGGAAATTGTTTTACCAAGTCTCACTGAATTAACTTCCTTCAGTATTTTCTGAGATTTTCCCCAGTTTAAGAAAGCAAACTACTTCTTCTCCATAGTCTTACTGGCAGCCTGGGGAATTGAACTGATGAAATTCCCATTTTTCTGTTGATACATTCTTTATTTTTTTTCATGACTTTTTCTCACACATGGCTACTCAGATAAGAAGCATTTTAGAAATAAGTCAGCTCTGCAAAAAATGAAATTAATTTCTGAGAAATAACTATTACTTCTAGATGTTTTAAATGATATAAACACTGGGCAGTGAAAAAAGAGGAAAATATATGGGAAACTGAACCTTTGAGAATTTGTATGAATATTCCAGATGTGTTGGTTTGATACACTGTAAACTTTAATTTTGTGTTGTTCCTGCACTGCTCCTCTTGTATACAAAGCGGCCTGGCTTTCTCCTTCAAACCACATACATGGTGCCAGCTGCCTGAGGGAATGGTAGGGTTTGTTACTTGGAGTCTCTCACTTAGCCTTCTAAAGGGTGCCTTTCTAAAGGTCTGCTGTAGCTCAGGCTGGCGTGGTGAATTTCTGCATTATGCCAGGGAGTTAAGCATTCATAGCTCTGTTCTCCCTTCTGGCTGAAAGCCCATGATTGTTTGAAATCACTTTTTAGAACTCACTCTTTCAGCCAGCCTTACTGTCTGGTGTTGGACCTTCAAAAAACTACCGACCTGATACAGCTGTACAATTCCCAATACAAAAGTTATTTGTCCTGCATCGTGCTGTCAGGAAAGGTGCTGGGCTCCTGTGTGATATTCTAAGAAGCGACAATGAGATATCTTTGTATTCTGGTCTGTTTTCACCAATCTATGCCCATGTTGTAGATATATGTCCATATGCATTATTCGCGCTCTGTGCTCAGCAATTATTTTTTCAAAGATACCTTTCCTCCCTATTGTTTCTTTCTCTTTTCTTGCCTTGTGGTTTGGTATATGACTCTGTGGCCTGTTGTCTGATGGAGGAATAAAGTTTAATCTTGAGCCAGTTTGTGCCTAAATTTACATCATTAGCAGATGTGCTGATTTTACTGCCTAAGATGTAAATAAGGATAGAATCTGGCTTTATACAGATTTTGGATGTGTGCCTAAGATCCACGCCGTTGTGCTTAGCCCTGTGCAAATCTATTTGTGTTTAAAAGTAATGTCCCAGTGGCTTTAGGAAGTTGGCTGACCATTCACTGGAAGCATGGAGCAGAGCCATGACCACCCTCTGCTTTCCAAGATCCCTTCTGCTTCTCCAGCTCAGTGAGAGCTGAACAAGCAAGGGACAGCTTTTTGACTCCTTGGTGAGTACTGGTCAGGAAGAAGGTCTTTGTTCCTCCCTAGTCATTTGGTTTGGTTCCTCAAGTAATGTCTGTTGGCTCTCAAGGAGCAGGTGTTTCAGCTGGAATGGAAATACACTGATGAAAGATGTTTGGCTAGCTGGTGGTGGTCCTCAGGTCTGCATCTATATTCTAGGTGTAGAAGATAATGGGTTTTTTTGCTTTTGTGTGCATTTGGGACACACCAGGGACAGGCAAAGTGGATGACACTTTGAGTGGCAGATGAGTGTAAAAACCCTGAACTAGAATAAAGGAAAGTGACACACACTCAAGAAACAAACATAACTGAAGTTCATGGCTGTTTAATAGTGATGTGTGTCTTTGACTTCTTTTAACTCTCTCTGTTCCTGTGTCCCCACAAATAAGTGGGGCTGCAGCCAGCTGAGAAAGCTGGTTTTGATGCAAAGCTTTTTGATATTGCTGAGCTGAAGGGAAGAGGACAGCTGAGGATGTGGCTGAAATTAACCATATCAGTTTACTCTTTTCTATATTACAGCCAAACCCTGATGTCAGTGAGAAGCAAATCCAGTGGGTTTGATTTATCAGTAGAGCAAAATGAGAAAAAGAAGAGACTAGAAAATAGTGCTTTTTAGAGGAAAAAAGAAGTTTGTTATTTTTTATATAATTTCTCTGCCCTATCCAGGACCAGGAAAGCTCTTTCCCCAGAGTACTTTCTGTTCAGAGGCTCTCTCCTAGATGGTGCTTCCTAGATGGTAAGTACATCTCCCATTTCTTGTACCTAGCATGCTGCTTGCTTCTGGTCTGCACATGAAGGATAGTTCCTCTAAGAGTATTACTATGGCAGAGTAACTGTTCCTGCTTATTACACTGAGTAGGTGAAAAAGGAGCTAAGTGTCCCCCTTTCCCCTCTGAAAAATGAAACAGGCCCTTCATGTACCAATCAAAATGTCTGCTGTAGCTTTGTCACCCCAAGGAGACACGTTCTGCTAAGGCTGATTAGAGGTTTAGTGTTCAGCATCTCTGCTGTGATGAGCAGCACTTACTGCATGGCATTGCCTGGAGTCAGAGTGCAGCTGTTTCTGGCAGTGTGCTGCTTCTGGTAAGGCTGAGTTCTTCACTGGTTTCTCTTTAAAGTGCTATAGTGTTTAGGTACTCTAGTGTTTAGGTGATAGAAATGTACCTCCCTTTTCCTGTAAGGCTGCGCTTGATGTAACTCCCTGGAGACCTGCACTTGTATTTCACCCAGACTTTGACAAAGCAGACAGCTTATCTGGGCTTTTATCAGGCTCAAGAGCACTGAAATTGGCAACTAAAAGCATCTGCTTTTGCAAAAGCTTCAGTGTGGGGAAACTGAATTTGTTATTATTCTAAACAAAACCAATTTCTCCTTGGCAATTTCTAATCACTCTTCTTTGTGTCTCATGAGGGAAATTGATAAAAACATACTGAGATTCTGGGTTTTAGAGAAATCTGTGTGGATAGATGCATTCAGGTTTTGTCTTTAGGGATTTGATATTCCCTTGCAGTGCCAAAACCTACAATGCTACATCACTGTGCTCTTGTGTCAAAACTCTACAATGAATGAATCTGGTTTTACTGGCCAAACTAAATGCAATGCAGAAACAAACAAAAAGATCGCATCTGATGAAGCACATTGTAGGTGAAAAAATGCTTTTGGTTTAGTAATATAAATTATGTGGCAGTGATAAAATTCATATTAGGTTCTTATTTAGTGAATTTCCCCTGTTTTCATGTGAGGTTTTGTGAGTAGGATAGATTTTCCATGAGCGCATTGGTAATTCAGGGCGAATATCTGTGGCCATGCATTTTAATTCACAAATAGCTCCCAAGCAGTTCTTTAGATGCAAAATTTGAATCAATCCTGTTAGACTCATCAATGTCATTATAATCTTGCTACACTCTCATCAAAACAATTCAGCATTTTCTGTCATATATTTTAATGTAATCATTTCTTCTTATAAGCCTGAAATCCATTTTATACATTTTAAAAATATTTATTTAAAGTTAATAATTTCACTCAATAATGTTTTTTTAAGCCTAACCTTTAAATTCAACATTTAAAGGGATAGGAACACGGACTTAATGAATTAGTCAGTTTACGTTTTTGTGAAACCACTGTGACTTCACTGACACAGAGGTTGCTTTAGTAGTAATAATGTTAGTTCAGCCCATCTTGTCCATGCAGTTTGACTCAGATAATTTTCTTCACTGCAGTTTTGTTGTTTTTCTGTCTTGCAGCAACTTCTGCTGATCGTTTTTACCGCATTGACAGATCTCAGGTAAATCTTTATTCAGTTACTGTTTCCATAGGTTTTTTTTTAAAGCTTTGTCAAAAGCAGCTTAACATGAATTATCTGCTATTCCTCTTGTGCTTATAAATTGCTACTGATGTCTGATGAAAAGTAGAGAAAAAGTTCTGGGCCATTTTGCAGGTGATGTAATTCACATAGTTTCATTGAAGTTTTATATCTGCTGACAATCTGCCCTTCTATTACTACCAATCTGATGTACACATCAGAATGCTCTACATTTGTCATCCTTATCGAATCTTACCAAGGGCATCTATGTGGCACCAGGGTATTTGAGTTTATCTTTTACTGATGCTTTTAGTCACCAGGTGTCTTGGTCCTGTATGTGTAATGTGAAAATTAAGGCGAGTGTTAGAAGCTGAGAATTTCAAACACAGCTATATCAAATATTCCCAAGCAACCCCAAACCAGAGTGTAGCTCTGTTAGATTCAAACCTGTGGTATAGATTTGACAATCTGAATATATTTTCTAAAAGACACTGAAAGTTTTACGGAGCTTTTGGTGTTTCTGATTTGTAGCCAGAACAGGCCAATTAGTGGCTCAGCATTAAGTGCAAACTGTTGATTTAAGACAGTGGTCATTTGTGTCTGGTTCTCCTGAGAACCATGTAAGCTGTTTCTGAATCACATGAACATATGACTGTTTCCTAGCGAAAGCAGCTGGTGTTTTAGTTCAAGCAGAAGGAGCTGTGGCTTTAGTTCAGAGGTCCCAGGTTCAGTGTCTGCATGTAGCCACCATGGGACTTCTTTGCACAGTGATATAAATGCTTTGATGAAGTTGTACTTTAACATTTGGAAAACAAGGATGAAGAAGATGCCGCTACAGGTTAAACTGGGGGATGTTGCTCTGTTTGGCTTATTCTGCATTTCTTCAGTACTTGGCTTCATACAAATGGTCATCTTTTCCTCCTACTCATTTGCCCTGTGTTTCTGTGATGGAAAAAATCAATACTGTATGATAGTCCCAGTGCACAAATGATGGGAAGTTTTGCCTACGTAGACAAGCCCACTCACACTTGGTGTTTTCTGAAGGACAATGAGCCTTCAGTGTCAATAACAAAAAAAAAGAGGAATTGAGAAAGAAAGATTTGGTAATGGAGAGGTGAAACCAGAATATAAAAGCAGTGAAAGATAATGAAAATTTCTGTTGGCCATCATCGGAGGACAAATGTTAGGTGTTCATCCTCATTTTAAAATGTAAACTTTGGATTTTTGGGTAGGCTTCCAGTTTCCAGCTGAATGACATATAGTCATTGAGTAGCAACCTTTCAAGTGTTGCTGTGAGTGTGAAGCTTGCTGGTTGGAAATCTTGTTTGACTTGAAACTGATAGAGTGTTTATTGGTGACTTCGGTGTCATTGGTTTTAGTGTGAGTACATACATGTGCACTTAAACAAATACACAGACAGAGTCCCATGAATGCTCTTCAGAGACCCTGATGTGCATCCAGCTTTCCTATAGCCAGCTGGATGCTCTGAGAGGCCAGAAATGCTGCAGGCCCATTGTTTGTTCCTTCTATCACTCCAACAGGAACATTTGCACTTTGTGACGGAAATTTCGCAGGACGAGATTTTTATTCTGGACCCAGAGATGGTAATGTCACAGCAGGTGGGGACGCCACCAGGAATGCCTGATCTGGTAGTGGAGCAGGCCTCTGGGTGAGTGGTGCTGGGATCTGGATGTATTAGAGTTGGACATCTCTTTTCTAGTCCCCTGTTTTAAAGGACTGAGAGATGTGGGAGGGCAGATCTTAGGTGGGGAGCTCATGACAGGATCAAATACAGCCATGGTAATGACAGAAGGAGAGTGAAATAACATCTACTCCATTAGACATCCTGGAGCACACAGCAGGACTAATGGACTTCAGCACCTTTCAATCTCCTCACACCCCCTGGCTGTATCTGCTCCACCATAAATCAGTATCCATTGAGTTAAACCCCCTTCTCTGCATGGCCAGGGCTCTGATACCGCTGTATAAAGCCCTGAAGCCCTTCTGCCTAAGCATGATGGTAAAGTGTCTCTGTTTCTTCTCGTCCTCTGGGCAGACAAGAAACAATCCTATTTGTCTTTAGTAACAGTCTTATACTCACAGTGAATTGAGCTTGCTATGGGCTGAAAAGTGCTGGGAACCAGTAAGCACAAGCCAGGTTCAAAGTGGAGAATGCAAGGTGATTTCTGAGGTGTAAATGTCTCCGTTCCTTCTTCCCTCCCTAGAATATCAGATCGGTGGAACCCTGCCGTCCGAAAGAGGATGCTGAGTGACAGCGGCCTTGGCAAGATTTCCCCACACTACGAGGTACCTGACAAACAAAAGGACGCCAGCCAGACACACATGCTGCAGTAAGAGCCCTCCCTCTGCATTTCTTTTCCTGATGATGCACTGTCACCATTACCACAGACAACTTCTAATGGTTCCTTTAAGATTAACGAATTGTGTGGATGTGCTGAAATTACGGAAGTCCTCTTGCTGCTTCTCTTTTGCTTCTCCCTTCTGTTTCTTCATGTTTCTCCTTTATATGTTCTTGACTTTGTTGGTTTGGGTTTTTTTTGTTTTTTTTTTTTTTGTCTGTGTGGCACCCTGCACTCTTAATAAACCTAGATCCAAGTTTCCAAAAGTAAATATGTTATATTGGATGCCTGAAGTTCCAGCTAATAGAACCTTCGTGGCAACTGGCTATGAGAAAGACCAAAGCATTCATCCTTAAGGTAGCTCTGATGCAATGCGACAAAGCAGAAGCCTCTACAATTGCTGCTGCTTTCAGAGATGTATAAAATAGTTTCCATATAATCTCGAGCCAGAGATACCATTGCTGATGCCTGAAGCATGATGACTAAACAGTGGTTTTGTTGCTGATATTTCCTACCTGCAAGAGATTTCCACCACCACGATCATGTTTGCCATATTCAGATTTGTGTAAGAGTATCTCTCATTCTTCTTGCCTGTTTCAGAAGTGGTTCTCAGTTTTCTGGTCCTGTTGCTTTAGATTTTCAAAACCAGCAGTCGATCCATGAAATCTCTATCAAAGTTTAGATGGGAGGCACTTGTCTGAACTCTATTGCTGGCTTTGAAGATTTCTAATGTTTTGGGGTTGTTTTTCCCCCCAGGTACATAATCTATAATTCTATGTATCGCTTCTGCTTTATGTTTCTAGTTCTACTGTATCTGAATCCCTACGGATGGGTTTTAGAACTTAGTACAGAAAAATTAGAAATAGTGACCATATGGTCCTTGTTTCAGTTTGTTTTTCTGTCTTGGATGTGTGTGACAGGGGGCTGCAAATGTTCTTGCTGAGTACAGCTCTAGGGCAGATGCAGTGTGGAAGGGAGATGGCATGGCTGTGCAGCTACAACCTAGAACTTCCCAGCAAACTGGAAACTGCTGACAAGAAGAGGAGATGGTACAGCAAAAACGGTGATCCTCATAGCACTGCCAAGAGGCACTCACCTAGTTTTCTCCCATTAGTCTGAGTGATTCTGTTCTTGTTTTTATGCTCTGTAATGTGAAGGATGGTGAATTCAGGTTCAGTTTTCCACAGACTGGAATGGCAGGGCCTGAAATTTGGAGCTGGCAAAGCTGGGAGAAAAATGATGCTTAGACACTTTTAGACAGTGTGACGAGATGGTGACAATATGTGGACTACCTTTTAATTGATAAAAGGAATGTTTTTGTTTACATCAGTGCAACTGGAAATGTTTATTTAACTGGAACAATTATTTTTGGTAGATTTATTAACTACAAGCAAAGTCAGTAGCACTGCTCAGAGTAAATATACCGGTCACTGCCTACTATAAGAAATCGTTTTTTTTATAGCTTCTCTAAGCTTTAATTGTTTTGCCTGAAATTTTTCATGGTAAGACTCAGTCTTTGACTGATTCTTTCTCTCTTTCTTTTAGTTAAAACTTAGACAAAAAGCCAGTTGTTTCTGAAGACAAGATTTGTGGGAAATGTGCTGCTTTAAATTTATTTTTTTTTAAATAAATAAATCCAGCAGTTGTATCCTGGGGCGTTTTAGTCCTGGTAGTGGAATGAGCGTCATTGGAATGAAGTTTTAGAGGCTTGACGTTTAATAAAGTGTCAGCACAATACCAGGAAGATGCCTTTTTCTGTCTTAAGAAAAGTACCCCTGAGTTTGCCCTGCTTATGAGGTTATTCATGCACTTCAGAGACACCTCACGTTCAAAAGCTTTGCTTTCTAAAGCTTCTGTCTGCACATGCTTATGGAGGTGTTATGCCCATCTGTAGTGGGAGAAGTGATTTGAAAGAGCGAAAGGAGTAGAAGAAAAAAGGGAGTATGTGCAGGAACTTGGGGAGTTAGGAGGCAATTAGGAGCACAGGGGACATAGAGATGTCTGGGAAATCAGATACTTATCTGATTGATAGTCATCTGATACAAGAGGACATGGACTGCAGATAGGTAAGAAGTGAATGGGACAGGTCAGGGGCATGGAGTAAAGAGTCTGTGGCTGGTTTTGTCCAAAATCTGGAGTTCCAGGCTGATGCAGGTTATTCAGTGGGCAACCTCTGAAGTATGTTTAGACACTGCCTCATTTACTGCCAGGCTGGAAGGTGTATAGTAAATGAGGCGGGGGAATGCAGTGGAGAAAGCAAAGTATTATTACAGTTAAGGCAGTTGAATGCTGCTCTGGGGGATTGGCTTCTCCCCTCAATTTTCCTAACAGAATTTCTGAATGATGCGGATTTACAACAAACTTTTCACAAATGGCCAGTAACAACGGGCTTCTCACTCTATGCATGGCCACTGTGAAGCAGGATGGGTTCCTGGGGGGCCATTACAAGAAAACTTTGAAAGAGAGTGGAGGGCTGGAAACTGAGAAATAGGCATTCTGTGTGCCTGAGGTTGTTTTACTAAAACTAGTGGAAAGTTTGTGCCTGCCTTTCTTCTGACTCTCTTTTGCCCAGCTGCAGAATACAGGTAATATTGCATCCTCACCTTAGAGGAGAATAGTGAGGGTAAATTTTGTGGTCACAAGAAACTTGGATACTATGGGGCGACTGTTGGAGATGCTTAGCAGAAAATTAATCAGTAAGTTTTGGTCATGTAGGATAAATAAATCTTGAGGCTCACAAAATGATGTCAAGCAGGTCTCTAACTGAAGCAAGAGTCCTGTAGGAGAAAGTAGCAAGTGGCAGTGTGATTAAAGGTTGTCAAAATGTGCAATAGGGCTGGAGTATGATGCTCAGGTGACATTAGTTCTGGCATTTCAAAGCTTCTGGATGCTTGGCTTTGCAACCTAGAAAATCTTTCTAACCTGTCACTTTAAAGAAGAACTTAGAAGGTACTGTTGTATTTTGACAGCTGAAGTAACTCACAGGTTCTTTACCGAGGTTCGTCCCTTCAGAAATTATTTTTCAAATAAAACTAGCAGAAAGAATTTTAGCAAAATTCCAAAAAAAGAATATGGCAGTGCACAGAGGAGACAGTTCCTCCTGTACATGGAGTTCTCAAGGATCTTTGAGTCATCAGTGTCCAGTGTTCTACATCTAGTCTGAAATATAGTACAGCACTTCTACCTCAAAGTGCAATATCCTACAAGCCTGCCACTAGGGCAAGTGACAGGGGACTCGGTGCAAGAGAAAGTGGCATCAGTTGACCCACTGGGACTGTTTTCTGAGTGGTCAGTTTTCTCCAAACAGAGGTTGGGAGTGACCCTCCTCAGATGTTGGCAGATTAGACCATGCTGGTCCTAGCATAGCTGTGGTCTCCTTAGTGTCTCTGGAATCACTGTATATGTGTGTGTGTGTGTACATATATATGTAACACCTATCAACTATTTCTGGTTAATTTCCTCTAATTCTATTATTTCCTCTAATTCCTATTATTTCCTCTAATGGAGGAGTGTAGCTAAAAAGACAAAGTATGCAAATAGAAAGATATGTTAAATTATTTCAATCAGTGAAAGCAGAGAAAAGAATATGTGATCTAAAAACAATTATGATATTTGGTGTTGGTTTTGATCACAAGCTGTTGGAGTAAATAGTAATTTGTATGTAATGGCTTTGAAGCAGGAGTCTTTCTGAGAGAAAATTACTTATCTTTTTGTTTCTAATTAAGAAAGCTTCATGTTAGTTAATTTTCAGGTGACTTTTGATTAATGGTATTTTATATTTTGCTTCCTTTCTGATGGCTTTTTGGTGTGTGACTGATCTGTGGAGTGGGCAGACCATGAAACAGCATCTTGATGCAGCAACCAGGAACTGGGGCAGTTCATAGCTTAATAGGGACATCAAATTAGTGTGAACAGTGCATACAAAAAAAACCCAAACCAAACAATGGGAAGACAATTACTTGGACTACTGGTGCTTGATCTTGAAGAGACCTAAGTATTCTGGTTTGATTCCACTGAAATGGAATGCATTTGGATTCTTCCTTTGAACAAGAGTTGGCTCATCATCCTGATTTATCCTATGATTAAATGATGCAGTGAGATGGGGATGACAACTCCTTCATCGCCTGCTGTAAGCATGCATTGTTGGCCATGTATTTTTCTTCCTAATTACATTTTTGTCACCCTGTTTGTGCTGAAAGCTGAGAAATTAAATAAAATAAAAAACACAACAGCATACAAAATTGAAAAGATGACTGTAGCATGGTAAAGGCTTAACCTCCATCTTTTAATTGAAGTAATTAATTTTCCCATTGTTTGGGGCTGTAAGATCCACTTTTTTAGCATCTGTCCAGCTGCTAGCTGCATTGTCTGAATTGAACACATGGCTTGTGAAGGGTGGGTGAAGGTTGGCCAAAATGCCATCTGGTCCTGTCAGGAAGAGGAAGAAAAAATGCCTGTAGAGGCTGGAAGGTGGCTGCAGCCTTTTACACTAAATAGACATTAATTAGCTAGTAATACCACCCAGGCACTGCTTTATGAGGCAATAATAGCCTAGTTCCTGAGAGGAAAGAAGAAAACAGCTAAATGCCAAATGTTTTAACTCAGCTATGAGAATCAGTTCATTGCTCAGGAAATCAGTGCGGATGTTACAAGGTGGTTTAGGGTTTGGTTTTATGTTATTTATTTTTTTTTTTTTTTCCCAAGAGAAGTATTTGTGTGGTACAAGGTGAGGAGAGCATCAGGGATGCAAGTTTGCATGAAGAAAGGAGAAGGAATACTCATCTAGGGAAAGTTAAGAAAATATAAAGAGGATTTGGACATGCTAGTGAGGAACTGCTGCCTACTGGTAGTGAACCTTTAAAATTTCACAGGTTGGTGGAAACTTGAAAAATCAAAATGCTTCCCCAAAACACTTGCATTGGAAAATGCAGTATCAGCTTTTAAATAGGCAGGGTAGCCTGCCCTGGTATGATTTGATAGCAAAATCTGAA